AATAAATTGTTTTTATAACTTTTACTAATTCTGTTTTGATGTTTGCTTGTTTACATGTTCTTACATATTATAAACTATGACTTAGATAATAAAACCTTGATTTGATTGTTTGTTGTTCTTCTATTCTAAGGGGGGGGGGGCATTTTTTCCCTTTAAATCCGACATCTGTTGTTATTTTATGATGAGTACTTACATTCCGTTTAATTATAAATCTATTTTCAGTATTTCACGATGCATTTTATTTTTTTATTCTCTTTTAAAAGATGCAACAATAACAAAAACAAAATCAAGTAATGCAATAAGAAAATAAGATAAAAATTCTAACATTCTTTTTGAGTAAATCGTTCGTATATGGACTTCCTGTGGGGTTTAAAAATCAAAGTGTATCATACTTTTACGTTGGTTATAAGAAAACAATTACAGAACAAGATTAATGATAAAGACTTTATTGTAGGTTTTTAAACTTTATTTTTTTTAAGTTACCAACAATAAACTTTAACAAAACGCGTTATGACTATAGCACTATTAATATACAAGGAAGTTGTACAAAAATAAATCCTCTAATTTCAACAAAAATACAGTTGTTATTATAGAGATTACGTGTAATTTTTAGTTATTGGAGATCGTTTGATTGAAGAAAGGTTCTTACTTCCTTTATTGTATTTTATATTCTTTCGTATAATTTGTTTTCCTTTTACTTTAATAGAATTAATTGCAAAGAAAAGTCTGTAGATTTAAATATGGCTTTTCAATATTATCGTTTGAAATATTCTTATTGTATTCTCAGATTTCCAGGAAAGAAAGTTGTACCACCAGTGTTGGCACGCTGAAATGTGCAACGCTTCTTATGCAGCAGACACAAATAACTCACTTCCGGTTGTCGTAACAATCGTAAAATTTTTTATTTCCGTTAACTTCCGTAGAAACGCCGTGTGCGATAATAGCCAAGGTAATCTGACTGACAACCGGAAGTGCTGTTCACTTTAATTTCATTTCATGATATTTTTTTCTACAATTAATAAAAAAAAGGAATTGTGTTTTCTAATTGTATGTCATAGTAATATTAAAGTACCAGATTTACGTGACACGAGTAACAGGATGACTTTCATAAATTTATGACACGTAATTGTATAGCGTCCTTGCTCGAGTAGGGAAACACTTGTCTATAATACAAGACTTCCTACTTCAGTTTTGAAGAAGGAAATGTGTGTGTATTCACAAACAATAATTTACAACTTAAAAGACCCAGTCTTTAAACTCAACGGTATCGTGTTCAATTCAATATGATATTTTCTCTTTTATCTCTTAATACACTTATGATTATAGCAGAATGTTCTATTACCAAATTTTCCATGCTTTTATGATACATTCATGACCGAACGTATTACAGAATGAATAAACTAATGACCGAACGTAAGACAGATCGAAGAATAAACGTACGAACGGACGCAGGAACGAACGGACGGTCGACCGACCAACCGACCGAACGAACGAACGAATGAATGATATCGAAGAAAGAAGGTATTTTTGATGTTATCATAATCTTAAGAAACCTCAGTAGCGTAAAACGCTACAACTTTAATATTTAATGTTACCAAGCAGAATTTACTACTTACTGCATGTTGTGGTAATTTTTTGATGAAAGATCGTACACATTGCTAACGATCCTACCCTTAAGTTGCGATTTTTATCTGTTTTCGATAATAAATTATATGTACCCGCACCTTGCGGTATGTTATACACGTTTATATTTTCATTTCAGAACCAACTGCTTTCGTTGCGCAGTTTCTCTTTATTGCATCATAAAATATACTTCACTTCAGACAACATGTGGAACCATTTAATTATAATGTTGTTTTGTATACCACAAAATGTTCACTTTTACAACAACGTACTGGAAACACTGCTATTGAAATAATGATGTGAGGTGTGTCATGTATAAGATATAATTCCATGTCGGTTCATAATTTATAATGATCTTCTTGAGTTGTTTCGAGTTTATATGCCAGGGTGGCGTTTCATAGAAAGTCCCAAGCTTAAGGCCAAATCTGAGACAATTTTGCATTCCTAACGTATTACTCCTATGCTATATGACTCGTTTAATAACAGAATAGCAATGCTGATGGACATTTTCTTACTGCGAATTGATTGATGGGTCCGTCCAATTGGCATGGTTCAGAAATACAGTGATTGGTCACAACTTTGTACTAGGAAAGAATTAATCAAGAAACGGAGTTGAAAACGGTTATTCCAGATTGCATTTCAGGGGTTAAAACTCAAGTTGGTAAAAAGTGGAACAAATACATCGTTGAAAAAAGTGTACAAGTGAAGATACAATTAATGCGCATTTTTTGATGACGATTTAAATCCAAGTCCATGACTTCTGCGTCAAACAATGACGAGAGATAGCTTTTGGGCTTTTTTATCTTTTGGGCGTTGTGTCTTAAGCATCTATTTTAAAAGATGGGCACCTCCCTGTTTATAACTTAAGGATAACATAAGGCTCTTCGTCGCGAATAATTGCATGCCTTGTGCTTCGGTTGAGATAAAAACTGTGTGAAAATATGAAGTCAATATAAAACTGATGATACGGCCTACTTTATGTTGATGCAATTTAATTTCCTTATATGGAAATTTAACTTAGACACGACTTGCGTAAACTAGTCTCTTAAAATATAAAGATGACATTGTGATATTGAAGTCTTTAAATTTAACAGGGTAAATAAATTTAAGAAAACCTTTTTTGCAAGGTTTTCAATGCAGTTGCTATCATAAAACATCCGAGGCGTAACACGGGAGTACCCATCAAAATAAATATTATGATATGAAATTTTAAGAAAAAAAAAAATGCAGCTTGCATTTAGCTTTATATTAGACTTTTTACAACGATTATAACTACTATATTAATACCGTATGCCCCAATGGTTACAGATATACTCACCCACAAGTTTTTCGCATCAGTTTTCATTTATATTTACCATTTTTCTATATCTGTAAATATTTGTTGATATATTTCCGTCGAGCAAACTATCTTTGTAATAATGGTAATCTTAGGATGACAAATCAGTTTTAATTGTGGATATATGAAATAAAATTGTCATATAATTAGAAGATCGTCCGCCAAGATAATGATTAAAGTCTGTGATTTATTTGATACGCTGTTTAATATTCAAATCGCCTAAAACAATACGTGGTAAGCGCTTAATGATTTTGATTATAAATCGTGATAATGAGGGGTTTGGAAATAATATGATTCCATCTGATTATTTTAGGGGGGGGGGGGCTTTTTTTAAATTAATGACAAATCTATAAAAGGTATTTCAATAAAACTGTCTGTTTGTTCATCGTTCCTTTCGGCTCGGTTATATATGAAAAACAACCGTTTATATAGGGCAATATAACCTGTCAAAAAAAAATATAACTAATTATCCTAAATTTACTAACATCACATATTATAATATTATCACTACATGTATAATAATTTAATCTTTCTGATATATATAGATCTACATCTATAGCAAACTCTATTTAAACTTATGTTGATTTACTACTGTATAGTAAACGTAAAACTTCGATTTTAAATAAACATTCTTTTTCAACGAGGTGGACTAGGAAAAACCGGTCAAAAATCGATTTTTAGATAATCAAAGCTGACGTGTATTATATTAAATTATAGTACATGTATTTTGAAACTTTCGGAAACTTCCCATTTCCTTATGATCCAATCATGTAAGGGTAAATTAACCAATGAAAAGCTTTAACTTGTTTCTTACATATTTCGTTTTGATTTTGTTCTGAAGAATTATATTTCCGTACAAGGCAAGTGACCATGATTATATAATTCCATTATTTTTCTCACAACATGTCGTCTGCTTTGTAACGCACGAGATTTCAACAATCTCGTGCAGTAAGTCGTTCACTTTTTTCTTTTTCTTTTTTGTTGCCAATTTTCTTTGTCTTAATCCAAAAACTGTCATAATTATTCGAGTACATTAGACTTAGTGTGATTCAGCTTCAATAGCTAGTGTTCTGTGTACATTAATTACACTGAAATAGGCAGGCGTTCGTCATAACCATTATCACATGTTTCGCAACAAAAAGTTCGTATTAACCGATATCTCATTTTCTATATAACTTTGAATTGTGTCAACAGACAGACATGACTTTGAAAAGCAGAATCAGGGCATGATAAGTTTTTTAAAGTCTCTTTTTTAGAGTTTATTATTTTCTAAGTTTATTAGACTAACTTTCCTTTAATGCAAGTTGCAAAATCCAAGGCGCGTTGGGTCTGTAAAGCTTTCAGATATAGTTCGCCTTTAAAACAACAGTTTGATTGTCTTACTATTCTTCTGAAACTGTAGGTCAAAAACATCCAATGAATGATACCTACTGGAAAGTGTTTCACTTGATGCTACAACACTTTGTTTTAGGGCGTATAAAAGTAAAAACTATAAACAAAATATGCAGTGTATTTTTATTACATTTTTTATATTATTATTTCAGATCATTTGTGTAAAGTACAATAAATCACATTAAATTATCATTAAAATAAGAAATTGATAGTATCTTTAATCTGTTTTATATATTAATAATTTATCATAAGTCACACACAACTACTTAATGTCGTCTGGACGTGCGTCTGACATCAGCTTCTTTTGAAGTTCTCAAGAGGGTCGCGTGCCCCCTACTTGAAGCCTACTTGCAGTAAATGAAAGAAACGCACTTGCATGTCAATTGTTGGTAGTTTTGTAGTGGTTGGGTACTTACGTTACATCTTTCGGACTCTATTGGGTACATTTAAATAACCGCAAAGTGCATTATTTGATGCAGACGAAAGAATGACCGGGGTGTGCCGAATAGATTAGCCATTGTGACACTGATACATCGGATGTGGTGAATGCACAAAGTCAAAAGTTCATAGAAAGATACAGGAAAAATAATAAAAAAGGAAATATCCAATTCAATCAAAAGATTTCTATTAAAATAACGTTATTTTTGTATTTATATTTTGTTGTCTATATCAGATTACTAAAGTTAAGAAATAACAATCTTAATATTGCAATTTTCTCTTAATTATTTACCAAAAAAAGCCTGAATTTTCTTATTTCAAACTGAAGTCTTTATCGTAAAATCCTGAAAAAGTATATTTTATTAATATTCGGGAACAATAAGTTTGTGGTACAAAACAGAAACGTGTCCATGAAATGATTTTTTGTATCTTTTTGTTTTGTTTTTCATTTCCAAACCTCATAAACATACATAAAGTATATACTTAGAATACATGTACCTTATTCACACTATTGAAACATGCACAAATAAAACATCAATCATCTGTAAACCCAAACTTCCAAGACCCCGCTATTCTCCCCGGGGGATGGGGAGTTAGATTACACATGACTGGAGACAAATATTACCAATGAACATTTACAATTTAAGGCACCCGCCAATTTGAAGACATTTTCGAAACACATAACAGTAAATCTTTATGATAACATGTTCATATACAGCATGATAAAAATAAAAATAAACTTTCTTTTTTTTCATAATTAACACGTGCAAAAACCCAGATACTCGAGTAATCCATGTCACAAAAAGACTACAAGCATTTATCTACAAATTACGGATTTCTCGACGCATCCGGAAAGGTAGGGCACGATTTTGACGCAACTAGACAGGACGTCAGGTTTGACACTCATAAATTTTACTTTTAAAAAAAACGTTTATGATTCAGGAGTAACAAAACTAGGTCACATATTTGTGACATATTATAGTTTTACAGTTGTAGAATATATACTAGTGTGTCAGTTTTGATGGATACAATGCCCTGTCACTCTTAAAGTAAGTTTTTGTGTAGTATTTAATATCGTTATTCTAAAATAAGAAAAAAGTCCAAAAATGAAATTTGCGGTATAAACGAAGCCATTGTCCTATTTTTGCACGTGCTACAGGATGAAAATATTTTATCTCTTCACAAACAAACCACATCTCTTGTAAACTCAACACATGTTACAAGCCTGTTAACATTCAACACTTATCTCGGCGAAGTTTTTTTTATTCATTTTAGAAATGCGAAATCGAAATTACTAAATCATATATTTTTTCAACCGAGAAAAGTGTTGAAACCATTACAATTCATCCATGCTTATTCAGAGCTTTAGGAAAACTTTTTTTGCACAGAGAATCATATTATACATATACACACAATCACGTGCACTAAGGCCGTGAAAAAAAACCGCTTCCAAACTTGTAAAAGTACGAAACGGTCTTTTTATTTCTTTAGCAATGTAAAGATATAGTTCATCACATCGCATTTCAGTTAAATCTAAGCAGTTTTCAACACAATGAAAATCATTGTGTCAAGTCGGTTGCAAATGCTCGCTAAATCAAATTACTTTTGAACATCAAGTTCTCGTTGAAAGTTTTGTAACTATTTACTGGCATCTGAGACTACTAAAGTTATTTCACAGGTGGAAATCACCAGTGTGTTGTCGAAGATTGAAATCTAATAAAAAAAAGTCAACTATGCTACACTGGAATTTGTTTTCTAACTGTGGGCTCGTGTATTCCGGAATCAAACGAGTTTTGTTCTTCATGGCAACAACTTCCCGCCAAAAATCGTTGAAACTCTTCCGTGAGTAAAGTAGTGTCAATGGACGGGCGTTCATAAAGTTCAATTTGAGATTTTTCAAATCTGTCATGTTCAAGATCATCCATTTCAGCCCTACAACTTTGTCTACTCTCAATGTCTGATACTGGAGATGATGTCGGGAATTTCCGTAAAGCCTCGTTTTCAGAATCGTACATGTCCGTATCAGAAATTGACAAATCAGATCTAGTAAGATCGCACGAGCTGTCCGGAAGTGACGATTGACTGTGGTAATACTTTTTCTGCCATTTTAAATCTTCGATAGTCTCGTTCAGGGTGAGAAGTTGTTTCATCAATGAGAGATCTTGGTCCATCAACGAGGCCTGAAATTAGAACAAAACATTTAAAACGTGATTTTAAAACGGCACAGTAAACTTGTAAACAAATATGCCTCAATGACATATACAGCTGTATATTCAGATTGTATCAGACGACGATCTGACAATCTGTTACACATATTTGTTGGTTTTTGTATCTCCGCATCTTTACAGCTAGATACTGCGTTTTACGTATCAAACGATTTTCACATTAACCAATATTGGATCGCGCCTGACGATCCAATAATTCAATATTAGTTTGGCTAAGTGTTAGGATGTATTGAATGTACATGTAATAGTACCATAGGGCAAGATGGCTCTAAAATAACTGCGTACCCTAAAACTTTCTCTCTCATTTTTACATTCGCACGGTAGTTTTTATACGGCATAATTTCTTTACTTTCCCCTAATATCGTATAGAATGTATGTCCACTGACGTGCAATTCACGTTAAATTAAACCCGAGACGAAATTAGGGAAACAGAAAGTGTGAGACAAATTTCTATTCTGTATTTTTTGCACTACCATGTACCCATATTTGAATATCTTAAAATGCAATTAAACTGTCTGTTATTTTTTCAAATGACTAGTAGATAAACATCCCCTGCAACATAACTCCGCACAAAAGTAATCAAAATACCCAAAAGATGAAAATTAACCTGAAGAAATACGTTAAATGAGATACGTTACAGTAACCCAAATGTCAGAACATATTCTGACAGATGCTAATCAAAATTCCCGTCAATCATCAGCCATTCATTAGGTTGCAACTTGATTCTTTCTCGTGAATAAGAAAGTACAAAAAAGAAATGCCTGGCATACATCAAGAAATACTATATTCATTCAAGGAAAAGGGAAAGACGTCTGCGTATATACATGGGTCTTAATGAATTAACAAGAAAAGAATTTGAGTTGAAACAGTAAATATTAAGACATTTCTTAATGTAGTAAAGAAAAAGAACGATGGCATTAAAATGGAAGTATGTTTATTAAGATTTAATGAATTCAAATACAATACACTCGGCGAAATGGAAATGTTAGCCCCTGATAAACAAAATACCAGTTTAATTACATGTCCAGAATAGATTTGTTGACGTAAGTCGGCTGTGAAATCAGGGCATAATTCATCTTCAGTGTGACTTATTCACGCAATATTCAAAAACGCTTTTCTCTTTAGTGATTCAGTGATACATTGCGACATCTTAACGCATTTTTACGACATACCAGCCGCCGGGCGGTAACAGGTACCCGTCACAATCGTTTTACTGACCCCTTGACCCAGACATCTTATTTCACTGATTTGCATAATCGGATCATATTTACTTTATTATACTGTTATACTGTATTTAGTTTAAATCATTCTAGCATTTAACTTTTAATGCAGTTATATAACCATTGAAAAAAAGAGATGAAAAATACACAGAGTGTTTGCTTTTACGAATACGTTTAGACTAAGTTACTAAAAACGGGTGTCAAAACACCAGAAATTAGACAAATTACATAGTCTGATTAACCACATTACCAATTTGTCATTAATCAAAAACAAAAGAATGTAGACATATTTGTCAACGAATTATTAGAGTTAACGATACAGGCTTGCGTCACTGTGGGTAAAATTAACAAGTAATGAATGGGGAATTGAAATTGATCCCCGCACCTTTTTAAAAGATGTTAAAGTCATTTGAAAAATTGATTTCACGCATTCCTTACATATTTCTCAAGGATTTCGATTAAGAATATGAAAAGGATCAATTTAACAGTGGTACGTAAAGATACAATGACATACCTTCAAACGAGAACGCTTAATTTAAATAACCGCGGGATGCGCATTAAAGTCCTGTGACTTTTTGATGTTAAACAAACTGATTTTATAAAAATTGGAGATATCATCCCAATATCTCGGTGATCTATACCGTGGTATGCGGTCGTGTCACACTCCAATTAGGTAGAGGATGTGGGTCCCCCTTCCCATCAGATATTGAATGCTACAAAAATTAAGACCGACTAAACAGATGTTCCATTTACATATATGAAACGAACCTTGGTCTTTTGAAAATTTGACTTATTTGACGAATTGCGAATTGACAAGATCGAGAAATGAATGTTAATAGCTTCCAAACATTTAAAAACTTGAATAGGGTGTGATGAGAAATAAATCAAAGGGCTGTAAGTTCGTAAAACCTTCTTCACCTAAATCTAACGACCTATAAAAGAGTACTGTTTTAGTGAAATAAACTAAATAAAACGAAAAAATATTTAAATCTAACCATAATAAAGAAATAATATATTATTTAACATTTTGACAGAATGAAGAAAAACAAATCACAACCCGTCTGACAACTCCAAACGCTCGAGGACACAGAGAAACAAATCGGTCAATTATCAATTAACGAAAGGAGCATCATTTTCGCGAAAAGTCAAGGCTATCAATTTACGTTTGCACTCTAAAATGCTCTTATCACTGATAGCGTGAATAAATATTTACAGATACGGCCTGCCATACTGACCGATTATAATATTAATATGATTGTAATGTTTATAAACAAATATTATGCCATTATTGTATAACTAACCTTTATATATAAATTTAGAAATTATATCATTATCCGGACATTACATTAAAAATTCCCAAATATTTCGATAATTACATATCGTCTGCATAACTGAACAGATTATCAAATTTATTGTTAAACGATGCGCAAGGAAAAACGTTGCAATATTTTGTAAGCTTTCATAACGACAGGGTTCTTTAGAAATGACAGTATGAAATGTAAAACGAGTGCAAGTGAAATAAAATAGATCGGGGTCTTAGAACCTGAAAAGGCGGAATAACTCTTAATGTGCCTAAAGTACCGAAAAATTCATTTCACTGGACATCAGTTGTAGGCATATAGAACTCCAAAATGACCACTATTGATATTGTGGAAATGACCCTGGTGACATTCAACTTAAATACCATTCAGAACATTTTAATGAACAAGGTTCCAACATATTATCACTTTCATTTAATAAACAAGCATTTAGCCTTCGTAACGCCTTGAACAGAATGCGCCAAATTCTTGTTTTTCATATTCATTACTTTTAACATTGTCACCGAAAACACGAGTTTTTTTGTAATTACTAAGGTGATTCCATTACAATAATTATTCGGTCCATTAATGGTTTTATTATAGATAAATAAATCGAGCAGACTGATTTTACTTTACCACGAGACATGAACATTTTCTACAAAAGAAGCAGACGAAAGACTGTCTGCAAGGCACCATTTATCAGTAACAAGATCTTCCCCCGGAAGTCTTTGAAAGTAATTCTTATCTGTTACGTCTTCCGGTAATTTATTCGCTAATAGTGAATGATTTATTCCCTAATGGTATGTTATTTATTAAACCTTAAATACATTTTAAAAAAATCACGCGTAAAAGTAACAAAAAAAAACGTTTGCAATTTAGGCGAAGAAAAAAAACCTTTTTCCTTGGATACATGTCAATATTTTAAAGCGTAAATAGTCTAAATGAAAATGAAATATAGACCGCGGTTATATTTTGCGGTAAACATATCAGATTTCACAAAATTTAACTTGACTACCTTCTTTAATGTAAGCACTTTCAGGAATCTATTTTTCGGTTAACGTGTTCAAGGGTATATTTCGAGGGTTTGTATATATCGAACTGCGAATTCCACCTTTCAGATCGCGTTTACTTTTGTCAACAAAACAAACATGACAGAGAGTATTTCTTGTTGAGTCATTTGTAGATACATGGCAACAACTGATAACAGAACAAACACACGTTAAAAATGGTGATAAGAAATAGAACGAAAGTTTTTGAACAACGTAGAAAATCCGCCATTGAAAAGTAATAGGATGACAACGCTTTTTAAGGTTAAAAGTCGAAATATCGGATTTCTAATAGATAATTATTTTTAAAATGTAGCGAATCTATTAAAAAGTAATTCATGTAACCATAAACTCTTGTTAAATAATTATTTATTTATAACAAGATGCATAATTATTCGTATGAATAATTTTAATGCACGGGTTTTATTTCAGGAGCAATCGGGTTCAATGACGTCAATGGGGTATCTTAAGATTTATACCATATCTGTTTTATGACATAAGCATAAAGTGAATTTTATAATATCTCATAAGATTTTCCGTGTAATTTATGTCGAAGTCTTCGCCCCATTTTATTAGTTTTTCTTGTTTGATTTACGTATTTCAATAAATTTCAACAGAAATGATAAGTGTGTCATAACTTATAAAAAGACTTGAATAATGAAATTATCATTACTTTGTATTTTTTGGTGTAATTTTTAATAACATCTTTCCTGTATAAGAAAAAATATTGCCCCCTGCATATTGAATTCTATGCAATGCGGAACCGATCTATTATTAATGATACCAAAAAATTGTGCTTCCCAACGTTTAAATGCCCTTCAAGTTCGTCTGCAGAACGAAAGTGCGGATTGATATAAATTCAATACTTCTGCTTACAAAACTGGAATCAATTCATACTGACGCACAACAACATAACAACCTTGTTATTTTACTTGTTACGAAATGTTGCACTTTTGAAAATAGATTTTTATTTCTTTGTGATCGTCAGATTCTGTTTATTTTCAATTCTGTTATTGAATTTAGTTCTCCTTTTAAGTTAAACATTTAATTCTGTTTACTTTCTGTTATAGGTTTTTATTGGTTTTGTAAATATTGCAGCGGTGAAAAGGTTTCGAGGTATACAAAGATTTTGTTCAAATGCAATTATGGGCCTGTTTGACAAATCTATGGTCTGCAAAGTTTACGTAAATTTATAAGCTAAATAATAGACCGTTTTTCGACTCTGCAATAGATATTATTAAAGGCCTAATTTTGAACGTCACTGAAACTTCTGTGCTAAGTACTGTTCTAAGGACATTCTAGCAGACGATTTCAGAGTTGTTGTTTGTTGTTGTTGCTTCTTCAGTGCAACTTTTTTGTGTGACCCATTACGATTTACGAAAGAATGACAAATGAACTTGGTATAAATTAGTTTCACGTTAGGAATTGCGACAAGTCTCAGAATTTTCCAGATCCTACAAAATACCTGCGAAATGAAATAACTTGGCTTAATTTATTTACAACAGTATTACTAATGTATGAAAATATTTTATTTGACCGATTACTATTTTAATATCCGAAGTTTTACCTAAATCTTATATTTCATCATGTGACGCAACTATAAGTAAGGAAACTCTTCAGATAAATATAGGTAATGACTATCGGATAAAAATAGTTAATTTCAATTCAAATTACTTAAATGCTTAAGTAGTCTTTACTTGCAATAATTGAACCTTTTATCGGATAGTACAGAAATCGGATACCGTTGATTAATTATGATAAAGGGATAGTGACTAGGTGTTGATTTACGATCAATGTTTACCGATGATTTGTCCTAATTGGTTTTGACATTTATAGTATTAGATGACAGAGACCTTAGGGCTGTATACCACCAATAAAACCTCAAAATTTGCACTGTCACGATTTTTAAAATAAGATTAATATCAGAAAAACTGGGTGAAATTTTATGTGATTCTAGCAATTTCAGTTTTATTTCCCGTTTTTCCCCCTTTTCCAATGATTCACAAATCATGAACTTTTTTCCGTTTTGTGCCCTGTTCACCACCCTTTAAAATCCTTTTAGTTTTTTTTAATATACGAAAATAATTCTCTGATAAACGTAATAACATACGTTGTTCTTAAAATACTTTTCTCTGGAATGTTATTGTCCCAAAATAGAAATAATACAGCAAAACATGTTTATTTCAGCATTGTATTCCCGAAATCTGATTTGGAAGCTCTGGCATTACTGTCTGTAAATTACCACAATAAAGTGTTTCTGGTGTCTAGCATAAACATCTTTTACTTCATTTGTTTTCCCCAAGGAAAAAAAACACACGCACAGATTTAATCAGAATCTTGTAAATTAGCCTCTTTAAAAAAAACAGAGCGTTCTCATATATACCACTTTAAATGTTGGAATTAACGAGTTGATCTTCATAGTACGGCTCAACAAAAAACACTTCGCGGATTTTAATTCAGGAAGCAAAACCATAATACATACATGTACTTTTCTCATAGCGTTACACACATATAACACTTAAGAATGTAAACCACCAAACTAATGTTTCCATCTGTGCTTCGTACATGTAATTTTTGTCTTACAGAAAAAACTGAATGTTTAAACCCTACTGTAATTATTTATATCATAAAAATTGTAGAAATACTAACTTCCATTGTAATATGTCGATTATAGCAACGTTATATTAAATTACTGTCTTTAATTAGATAAATTGAAAGATTTATAGTGAAGTTTGAAACATTTCCTTACCATTTCAGTTCTTAGCGTTTCCATTGCTACATCAATGGAAGTTGTCTTCTTACATGTTCTTGGACGGCCAGAATTAGCGAGTTTCTCCTTGACCACTTCCGCCGCTCGTTTTCTCGTCTGGTAAAATTCTCTGCAGGCGTTAGACAAGTCTATGGAATCCATATATTTGTCGTCTGCCTTTGTCAAATGATTATTGTCCGTAACACTAAACTCCTCAGTAGCGTGTGTGTCCATGTTTCCTTTAATAATATCCTTCATATTTTCTGAAGTTGTCTAAAAAAGTTCGTCTGAGAAAAACAGACGGTTGTCGTAAAAATATGTCCTCACCTGTTCACTTCAATATTCCAACTAAAATTTTTTTTATTAACACACAATGTTTATTTAAATATTATCAGTACAATCTAATTTTAGATGGTATTAAACGTTCTGTTTGAATAGCGGTTACAGTCGATACTTGACAATATCCGTGCAAGTGAGATAACGCGAGAAGTAGACCAGCTGATTTTACCGATAAAAATGCTGAACCAGTCTACCTTGCCGCGATTTGATTGGTTAACAGACGAAATGAGCTGGTCCGTTCGCGTGATAAACAAAGATCGGCATGGCGCCATAATTTGAATCGCCAATGCGGTAAGATTAATCAACGTAAAAAATTTCGGATAGATAAAGATTGAAAAGAATTTTTAATCAATCAACAAGTTAGTCAGCTTAAAATGAAGTAGGAGCTCCCCTTGTGTAATATCATTGGGGATACGAACAATTAATAACAAGTTTAATACATTAATCCGGTTAGAACTCATACTTTCAAAAATGTTTGTTTGTGAGAAATGTAGACCAAAACAAACATGGAAGTATACGGAGTTTGATAACGTTTGAATTTCATTGTAATTAGTTTCAATAAAAAAAGTCGACTTTGGCATTTTGTTATAGCATTGTATGTGCCAAATTTCGCACACGAAGGATTGACTAAATATCTAATACAATAGTTTACAGCATGAATTGACATTTTGAAATAATAACAGATTTGATGAAAACATTTCCCCCTGTTTTCCCCGCGATATTCAATAATTGGTGAATAATGAATATAAGATAATTCTAAAAATAAATTTAGAGTTTGTAAAAAGCCTCCTTTAATATTAAAAGTTGAAAAGGCTATGTGGGGGAAATTTCTCTTTTCTCCACAATTTTCAATAATTGATGAATTTTAGAAAAAAAAATCTAAAAATAAATTAGAATTTGTATACTACTACACAATATTTTTTTCAGTTGAGTATATATAGCATAATTATACACCATCATCAGAACACACATTTAAAAATACGTGAATTTATTGTAATTATGGAGATACGTACGTCAGTTCATAGAAATTTCAATTATGCACAGTGTTTAATATTTTACCATAAGGAATATTCTGTTATTTCCTCGCATTGTGTAATTCTGCACTGTGTTTAATAGTGTTCTGACAATTAAACTGTTATATTTTTATTTTAATTTTATTAAAACCTCCGACATTCGTATAAAATTTTCCCAGCATTTAAAAGAAAACGAGAGTAATAGTATACAGGCAGTTTAACACCTTGCATTGTTAAGCAATATTTTACATTTTGATGTGTCAGCAGTTTTCATTAACATCATTATTTTGCGGCAATTATAACCTTGTCAGTCTTTAACAATAACGAAAATATTCTTCATTGCAATTGTTGATTGTTTTGATTTATTCAGAATTTAAAGAATGCGTGAGAAAGTTTGGAGGTTTGAAAAAAAAACAGGACCAGTTGTCAAAACTTTTAACGGGTATTTTTGACACATCTGTAGCTTTTAATTGCAATTATTTCTTTAAACGTTTTATCTGTCATAGTTAGGTTTACATTTAATCAACTTAATAAGATCTAATTGCGCTTTACCCATCTCAATAGCAGGGTTCGATCCTCGGATCTGCCAAATTGCTCTAGGCAAGGCGTGAACGAATGTTTTTGAAGTCGCATCGACTTCCCGTTGGTTGACATTTGAATAGCGGTAAATGTCTTCCTTGGTGCATTCCCCACCCCCTACACCCTCACTCTCAATCGTCTCTTTCTTTTATGTGTTCGGATGAATAATTTTGCACCTCACGGGATTTGTCCCGTCTTATAAATCAAAATATAAACCCTATTAATTAGCCGGACAATCTGCCATGTTTTTGACAAGTTCAAACAATCTTTCTGAATGCTAGTCTTTGCTATATTACCGACAAAAGACCACTTTTGACACATATAATCTGCGTCCATGTATATATTACTATATTTCATCACTGTTGAGTATCCCACCTGTTTTATCAAAGGATCAGATAAGAAGATGTCGGCCCAGAGAACATGTTTTCATCGAATAAACCTCATAATAATACCCCCACTTAATAAATCCAATCACCTTTGGCTGACAACTGTTTTCACTTTCCGCTGAATGTTCATCTTTTCGAGTAATGAACACATAATAAAGATGGATTATCTATAGTAGTGTCTCTTTTTGAAGAAGTGACAGTCTCATCTGAATGGATTATCGCTCAGCTGGATTACCGGATTTAGATAAAGTCATGGAAACAAGATAAATAACTATTTCATACCCTCTTAATCCAAGAAACGTTCCGTGGTTCTTATAGTAATGTTGGCCCGCAGTAATGATGGGAAAAAAAAATAAAAACGATTGCTCAAGTACTTTGATCCATTTGACTTTTTATCAAAATCTGGACAGTATTTCTCTCACGTATGTAATAGCACTGCAAATAAATATGTTCCGTAAAGGATACAGCATACGGACGCACCCGAAGTTTGAATGTTTCCGAAGTATTAAAGGGACTCCGCTGAGGTTTAATGATATAATTGATTCTTTAGATTTATTTTTAGATTTTCGTTCAATTTTATGTAGGAATACACAAATGCAAAATCTATAATCAATTGCTTATTCCGTCTTTCCAGAATAATCATTTTTATTGTGTATATGACATAAAAAGGAAATTTTTACTGGCAAATCAAATCGGAGAAAGGATCGCAATAAATATCGATTTTTATTAAAATTAAAGTTTATTTCTTTGTTATCTTTCCACATATTTTCTGTTTAAAGTGCCCCTGTTTGATCTATGTTAGATTTTCAACAGTCTTTTGGATCTCAGCGGAGCTGCTTTAAAAATTGTCAGATCTTTAAACCCTTCTTGTTATAATCGTAAAGGATTATAAATAATTATATAAAAGCCTCATCTGCATGTATGTTCTTCATTTAAGTTCCGATCATATAACAAACCTCCACGCCTACACTCAAAAAACAAAACAAAAACAAAAACAGCAACAAGAACAAAACTATAAAGAACAATGTGGCTCTATAAAAATATTCAAAAAGGTAACTGACCGTTCTCGAATCGTGTTCTTACATTGTACAACAATGTTTTGTATCAAAACGTAACAATCTTTTTCTATATTTACAATATAATTATTTTATCTTGACACCGGAAATAGTATAGTAATCAGAGTGGTAACAGGACGACGGCTCCTTCTAGTTTATTGCCCTCTTTATCAGACCTCCGTACATTTTTATTTTGATATAAATACTCGAATTCTGGCAGATACGTAAAGTATCTTGTCATCATTTCTTTATTTCCTACTGATAAGCCCAGCCGATTATTGTGTTAACAATGGTGATTTATCTCTTGACACACTTTCAGGTAGACATTTTCTTGGAAACTCCCAGTGAATGAAATAATTAAACAAGTGTTACCATCATATTGCAAATTAGCGTGTGTTTTGTTAATAAAAAAGAGCAGTCAAATTATTGATAAACCTGTGTTTATGACCACCACCGCAACAAAAGTTTGATATAGAAAAACTGCCATTTATATTAACGAAATTTTCGTTTGAACGAAATATTTAAATTTAAAAACATGCTTGTCTTGCATAGCCTGATTAAAAATGGCTTAAGTTTCCATTTCTAAAAAACATAAAAGGATATTAAAGGGTTTTATTTTCTATAAAAACATTAATTATTTTTGTCGAGTGGTATGAAGATAATTTTCGTGTCACAAGACTTCTCTTTTAACTTTCCATGTAAGAAGAAAGTAGTCCGGCAAGACACCAGTGAAAATATGTAAAATATCTTTCACTGCAGTGAAATATATTTTACAGTGAAAATACGGGAAATGAAGATGCGCATTTTATTTCATCAATATTTCTCAATATTTCATTTCAAGAAAATAATAAACTAAAGTGACTACTAATGCTGATGGTCTGTCATTTACTTTTCGTCCGAATTTTGAATAACGTAAAGTAATAAATAAAAAGAAGACCAATTATCTTGAATGTTTTATGAACATAAACTATGAATCCAATCTACATAATGAATCAAAATGATTACACCGGTATTAAATGTCTACTTCAATTTATAAAAACCTTAATTACTTGTTTATCTTTTACATAAGTAATTAAATAACAATTCACCTGTTATTTTACCAAGGACAAAATTAATTACGTTTTTTTATCCTGTTGATATATTTTTATGGCATCGCCGTAAGACATATTTAACATACTATTTCTTGTATCAAACGAACTTTCTTCATCTATAAACGAACTTTAAGTGTATGGGGTGTGTGACTTTGAATTAGGTGCCAGTCATCTCTGCTAGTTAAAGTTTTATTATGGGTGCTTAAACCTGCTTGCGGCAACAGATTCATTCACCCATGCGACCAGCCTGGTTACCAAGCTCAGCCGGCACATTCGGACAGTTTGATGACCTGCCCTGTTTACCATTCAGTACTTTTAAAAATAAATTCCTTATAATGTTGAATGGTTTTGCCCAGATTGAAAGATGGACAAGTCCATTTTTAGATATTTAGCGTGGTTAGGATAATTATCTCACATGCGGAAGCTATACGATAATAAATGAACAGAAGCGCGTTCTTTTCTGGAATAATGCGCGCATGGGCATCGCAAGCATTATAAATAATAATAAATTCAATAAAAATAAAACAACAATTCAAAAATCCGAGTATATGCAGAAAGTCATTCATCTCTAATATTTTAATAAAGACAATGATATTTGAGCTATTTTTATTTTCTAAATTGACCGACTGCAGTTACGAAGGACATTTCGTTTGCGGTGAGTAGTCACAAAAAATATTGTTTGTTTGTTTTAGTCGCAATAGAGTGTGTGTGCGTTTTTTTTTCTTAAATTTAAATACGAAATGCGACTCATGTAAATTTGGCGCGAAAACATGTCATTCAATTTGACATTTTATTGCACATTGCAGACGACACCCTGGTTGACCTTCAAAAACATAGCATAACATTTAAATATCTAAGTATTTAATATTCGTAATTAACCTTAAGCATTTTCACATCATAGTTTAATCATTTTAATATATTTTTTCAGCGACTCGAAACTTCCTTTCGGTTGATTTACGGTGAAATAAATCTTTAGTAAGACTAAACCGCGTGAGCAATTAATAGCAATTTAAAACACAATTAGCGTTCTTT